CCGGAAGCCCCTTCCTCTGGGCCAGGAGCAGCGGGACAGAAGGTGGCCCAAAAGCCCTTTCCTCTGGGCTGGGAGCAGCGGGAGGGATGGTGACCGGGAAGCCCCTTCCTCTGAACCAGGAGCAGTGGGATGACGGCTCAGAAGCCCCTACCTCTGGGCCGGGAACAGTGGGACTCAGTGCCTTGGTCTGGTGGTCTGGTGTCCTCTGGGTCTTTGTAGTGTGGAATCAGGTGGCTGCCTGTCTGCAGCGGGGTGATTCGGTGTCTTCCGCGCGACTCAGGACCTCGGTAGGGCGTGCGCAGACCTGCCTGTCTGCAGTGGGCTGATTCGGGGTGTGTTCCGCGCGACTGGGGACCTCGGTAGGGCATGGGCAGACCTGCCTGTCTGCAGCGGGGTGATTCGGTGTCTTCCGCGCGACTCAAGACCTCGGTAGGGTGTGCACAGACCTTCCTGTCTGCAGCAGGCTGATTTGGCGTGTGTTCCGCGCGACTGGGGACCTTGGTAGGGCGTCCTGGGGTTTCCTCTTGGTGTCTTTCTGTCGATGGCAGCGTGGACTCTGAGTATCTCACTGGCTTATAGGATTCTGTGAGCTTTGCTTTCTCCCCTCCACTCTACTGCACAGCATCTTCTGCAATATCTGGTTTGCACCAGTGAATGCATATTTTAGGTTTTGAACAGTTTTGTTTTTTAAAAAAATATTCTTTGGTTAACAAACCTTTGGATTCTGGCTTACACGGTGGATTGTTTCTTAGGTTTTTTTTTTCTTCCTTGTTCGTACTACCCTTTTCTTCTTTGATCATGTTGTGTGTTGGAATTTATATTCGTGTATTTGTCTAATGTTTGCCTTTGAGATTAAATTGTAAATTCCTGGAGAGAAAAACCTTACCTTGCCTGTCTTGTTCCCTGCTCCTAGCACATTTCCTGTTACCTCGTAGCTAGTCAGTGAAAGAGGTACCAGTGGGTAACTGAGTACAGACCACTCTGCATCTTTGTGTCCATTCTCTGTCCCGAGCATCTGCATTTCAGAGACTTGTCCTAGAGCTTGGACATTATTTAGTTCTGCTTAATTTAGTGAATGCCACCTTGATGTGGGTTAGAACAGTGTGTGACTTGTAAAGGGTGGAAACAGAATAATGTTAAGTAGAAAGCAGGTACAATTCGGGGAGGGATGTTTGTCTCTGCAGAAAGAGCTGGAGGTCTTAGTAGATAGACTCTTGTTGCCTTACTGGCCATAACTGAGGCGTGAGGGAGTGGAGGGAATTAGCAGTCTTTATTTAAAAAAAAATTTTTTTTTAACCCTGAAAGGAGAATTTTGATTTGTTATATTTTATCACAGAAGCTCAAAATGTGATCACTATATTGCATGTTTAGCTGGGCCATTTCCTTTCACAGTGGACCCTTGGCTTAGGAGCTCAGTTCCTCCCCGAGGGCTGTTGTAACTCAAGTTGGTCAGTTCAGGTGCAGGCTCCTCTCTGCAGCCCTCACAGTCTCTCTCCTGTACAGGGCGGATCTTGGCATCCTCAGAGACACGGGCCCAGGGTTTCTCAGTTAACCCCACACTTAGCTCTGTTGTCATGTTCCTCCCAGAACTCTGTAAGGGTTGAATCTGTGTCTGAGACCGTCTGGAAGCACAAGGGTCCGGCATTCAAGTCACAACTCAAGAGTTTGGTTGTAAGTTAAAACTAAAATGCTGGTCGTAGCCCAAGTTGTTTGTATTTCAGGCTGGTCGTAACCCAAGGGTCCACTGTACTTCAGTGTACACATTAATGTCATATTGAAACAGGCTTTAAGTTTCGAGATTGAAGGTCCCCTGTCACCACAAGATTTACTTGTCAGTCTTACCCTTCCACGACCCGTCACTGCATGTCGTGATGTGTGATGGGCGCCTTTGAAGAGCATTAGGTAAGTTAGAGGGCGTGATAGTTACAACACTAGACTTGTTTGACTTTACAGATGAAACTTAATTAGCACTTAAAATACCGACTCAGGTGGGGTAGGCATTGCTAGAGCCTTTCAGTGGACAGTCTTAAATTAAGGTACCTGTTATTTTTGTTTTACAGAAAACAATATGGGTAGTTTTGTTTAAGGTAATGCAGTTGGGAAAGTTAGGGTTTTGACCCAGGTTTGTCTGAGTCAAGGGCTTGTATTGCTTTAATTCAGCAGGCCGCCTCCAGCTTTTGTCTTTTACTTTTGAAAGTTGGAGACTTGAGTGTAGATTTTTCACCATCAAGATAACTAGGCAGCCAACATTTTACCTTTTAAGATAGTTTGAGAAAACAGCTCAAGTATTTCTGTAGCTCTCCGCCTGAATCTTCCTCTGATCTTAAATTGCTCCTTATTTCTGTACTTTTTGTGGTATTGGGGATTGGACCCAAAGTCCTGACACTGAGCTATGTTTCACTTTAAGAAAACGTCTTGCCAAGTTTTCCAGGCTGGCCTTGACCTCGTGACCCTTCTGCCTCAGTCTTCCATGGAGCTGGGGCTGCAGGCGTGTGCTGCCACGCCTGGCTCCTCTGTGCTTCTGCTCTACCTTACTGTGCCCACTGTCTTCCACTTGTGAGTACTGATTGTCCCTCCAGTGAGACTCCCAAGTTCTTTCAAGACAGAATTCTGGATTGGTTCTTTTTTCCTCTCTTCAGTGCTTTTTTTTAAATAATAAAAAGCGAATAAATATTTGTTGAACGAACTATCTGTATAGCAACTTAAAAGAATATATTCCTTTTTCTAAGCTGTGTGGTAGCCCCTAAGTTTCTTTCTTTGGTTCTCTTTCCTTGGTCATGCGGAGAGCTTTTCCTGGGAGCTGTTGTTCTTGTTCCTTGGCTGTGGCCGGTGTCCATATCAGGAGTGTTGGCCCAAGCACTTCCTTGGGGCCAGGTGGTTACGGGATCGGCGAGGGGAGTGACGCAGAGGCTGATGGGAGTGTGGGAAGTACCTTACTTTTGCACACCTCAGCAGACTGCTGCTGCTTCAGAACATCATATCCAGTATCCACAGATCTCCAGATTTTCAGGGGAAGTAGAAACCTAGACTGTTTCTTGTGACATTTCTACCATTTCTGAATATGAACACCAGGCTTCTGCTTAAAACTCTTTCAGTGGTTCCTGTTGTCTCTAAACTTTAAAAATTTTTACCTTCTAATGTTCTTTGGGTTTGGCTCTTGCTCATCTTTTGCCTCATCCTCAACACAGTTGAACTGAGAGACAGCAGGCCAGGCCTTGGGCTCCGCTGCCTTGGAGGCTTGCTTCTGCTCAGAGCCGCCCTCCCTCTGCCCGTGCTGCTCCCGCGCCTCTCATTTGCTCACCGCCGGTGGACTCTCACTAAGCTTCTTGAAGGCAGAGGCCACAGATCTTGAATAATGTATTCAGGATGTAGGATGGTGCCTGGCAAACAGTGAGTTCTCCTATATTTGCAGAATAAAGAAATCATTTTTCCTCCAGAAATTATAGATATAAGAAGGATCTAAGAGCTGCAGTTATAGTTGGAAGTCCTTTTAAAATGTCCCAATTCTCATTCCCCTTGTTTGAAGAAGGTTGTGGATGTTTTTATAAATGTGAATCATTAATGTTTATATTCTTCAGAACAAGGTAAATTGTACTGTGGGCATTAATCACTAATTATTGTTGCTTTCTAGGACTAGAGTTTCTTTACAAAACTTTTTTTTTTTTAAACTGTAGCCCACTTAGGCTCCCTGTTTCCAGCTTTCTTCCTGGTTAGGGGCCAGTTGCTCTTGGTCGTTCCTCCTTCCCTCCCTGGTTTGCAGCATGGTCTCTCGGCACAGTGCTCTGACACTCTGGGCCAGATTCTTTGTCGTGGAGACTGTCAGGTGCAGTGTCCTTGGCCTTCACCCAGCGGGCGCTGGTAGCATCCCCCAGTGGGGCAGTGCAAAACGTCTCCAGACAGTGCCAGGCATCCTAGTGTCTTAGTGGGGAAACTCCCCTGGGTGAAACCGCTGCGCTGTAGGTGGTCCATCTCCTCGTTACCCTCAGGGAGCCTCCTCTGTTACCCCTCTGGTAGCAGATAAAAGGACCGTTTGGCCTTGTTTTTCCCCTGTAACTGCTTTTCCCTGTTAGGTTCATTTCCCTACCCCTGCTTTTCCCACCCAGTTTTGTAGAATGAATAGCTTCTACTTCATCATTTGTGCTTTTCTTTTTCACTTTAACCATTGTGGAGCATCCAAACATGTTTTCATTAAGTCCCCTGTCTTTTATCTGCTGTGCTCTGAAACGAACGGTGCCACCGGCCTGCAGACCGAGTCGCCATCAGGCCGCGCTTCTTTCCACCAGCCCTTGCAGGCGCCCCCTGCAGTCAGCGCAGAGCCCCTGCCTGTTCTGTCTCCTGCGTGTTGCCAGAGGTGTTGCTCCTTCATTCTCACAGCTGCATCATGTAAAGGCTATCAGCCCCTTTGCTCTGCTCTATGAATTTCAAGTTTACGTTTTTTTTTTACTTTATTTCTAGAACAAGGTCTTTTCCTATTTCAGACCTTCTCAGGCATGATTCTGGAGTCTGAGCATACGCATTTTGAAAGGCTACCACGTAGTTGTTTTACAACTCCTTTTTTTTTTTTGGTACTGGGGACTTTGATCCCTCCTCTTGCAGGGCAGGCGGTAGAACCACTGAGCTAAATCCCCGGCCCATTTTTTTACAACTCTTAATGGCTTCATTTTCTTATTTCAGAAACCTTTCACTGTTTTTAAGAACTCCTACAACCCCTGATATATTTTTCACAAAACTTTCTGCTGGGTTCCTTGTCTTTTGACATTTTGCCAAATGACAAGTACTTTATGAAAAGCCAGTGTTTGTTTACTTACTATATATATATATATATTTCCATTAACAAAATTTTATTCCTTACTATATATTTTTAATAATATCAGTAATAAAATGTATAATTGGAAGCTGTCTCAGAAATCAGTGTACTTTAACTTGTTGATTAATGTTATGTGTTGCTGACAGAGTTGACTGTTAGCTTTAAAGCACTGACCTGGCATTTCTCCCTGCAGGTATTTATAACAGCAGCGATGCAGCAGTGTCATTCCCCATTGCGGCGTCCGGCTCAGGGTCCAGCACTCCGGTCTCCACCTCACATTTACCCCCACAGCCTTTGGGGCATTCGCAGCAGCCGGGTGCTCTTTCCCCCTCCACTGCCTCAACCGTAACACCTGCTTTGGCCACAACACAGGTATGTTATGAGCATGCTGTGAAGTGGCATCTAGACATGTTTGTCCTTTTTTACAGTTTTTGAGCCAGGGTTTTGCTATGTAGTTCGCGCTATACTTGAACTTGCAGCAGTCCTCCTGCTTCTGCCTCCCAAGTGCTGGGATTTACATGTATGGGCCACCATGCCTGACAGGTTTGTCTTTCTTTAAAGTAAGTTTGGTTGAAATAGTGCTTTCTATGGGAATTTATGAAATATTTAATTTGTATTAATGTGTCAATGAAAATAATAGACTTCGGGGGGGGCGGCTACTGAGGACCAAACTCAGGCCCTTGCACTTGCGAGGCAGGTGGTGGCATCACTGAGCTACATCCCCGGGCCAATAATAGACATTTTTACATGATTTTCAGGAGAGAGGACAAATGAGTATGTGGGCAGCAGCTACTCTTTCCCGTTTCTGGGTTTCTAATATTGTCCTGATGATGGAGAATAGTAATTTCAGGGGAGGTTTTATTCTCTTCTATAAAAATGTAAAACTCAAAAAGTTTGAGACCCTGGGCACAACAGTGCATATGGTAATTCCATCTGTGCAGGAGTCTGAAGCAGGATGATTGCAAGTTCTAGATTAGCCTGAGCAACCTGGTGATGCCCTGTCTTAAATAAGAAAGAGCCAGGGTTGTAGCTCAGGACTTTGATATTTTTTAATAGTCATTAAAATCATGCAAATTATGAAAATCTGCTCTCTAAAAATTTAAAAGCCATTGTAGGTAAATGTACGATACAGAGGGGATGATTCCTTTAAGTACTATGTGGTTTTCTTCCTGTGTGAGACAAGAGATGTTCCTAAGCATTGTAAATAATGGTGACCGTGTAGGGTCTGCCTTTTGCTTTATTTAGACCTGCAGTCAGATAAATGACCACCTTATCTATAGAAATATTTTGCAAGCAGGCATCTAACAGAAATCATGGCCTTGGGTTGTAAAAATGGGTGGAGATGGGTAAAGCTGTACGCATGTTACATGCATGCCATCCCACCCACAGGCAGCAATTTAAGATTTCTAAAGTATGTATTTTTTATTTATTTGCGATTATTTATAATTTTATTTTCATCTCTCCCAAATTCTAGCAATAAGTCCTTTAACATCTCTGGACAATTGTAATAATGACTACCTTGTAATTGTCAATGTCTCATTATAAAGAGCTGTTAAGAGGGTCTCTGTAGGTTGCTGTGAACCGAGCTTTTAGATAAGTGTGTGTAGTGTCTCCTGTGTGGGACTTAGAATATACATGTCACCCTTTTGGTATTTTCTGTAAGCTGTACACCAGAGCACAGCACTAGATAATTTTTAATGCATGTATATGAATGATGCAGCGCAAACAACCACCATTACATTAGAGCCAAATGTTAAAATGAGCAGTGGAATAGTTCAGCACAGAAAGTCAGTGGCATGTTCAGTAGCATCATCTCTTGACAGTGGAAGTTAAACCTCTCAGCCTGAGTAAGAGGAGGTTGATTACTTAGGGTTTTTCTTTATCTCATTTCACTAGAAAAGTGAGGTACCCATAGTAATGGTGCTTGGAGAGACACAGGGTGAGAGGACAAATGAAAAGAATGGCTGTCATAAACAGTTTTATCTCCTTTAATTAAGTATAACCATATGCTGTAGATAGCTTTATATACTTGGACCAAGTCTCACATGGGACATTTTCAGTGTGTATATTCTGTCTTTGTAAAAGTGTGTTGTAGTTATTCTGCTGAGTTCTAGGCTGAATGAAGCAGAAACCTCATTTCTCCTTATTCTTTGTTTGTGGGTGTAGCGCTGGCATTAAGAGGTGGATGGGAGAGTAGTGCTAAAAAGTTTATAGCTAGAGGGAAAATTCCATTCAACATGGGACTCAGCCGAAGAACAGAGAAATCATAGTTGCAAGTCATCCAGCATTCAGTCCAGTTAACCAGTTGACTTTTTATCCTCCTCCCATGTTTCAGTAAGATGGGTAGCTGATGAGTGCAGTGTCAAGTTAGGCTCAGGTGCTGCACAGTGAGACAGCTGCGTTGTCTTTCTGTCTAGCAGGAAATACTTCCCGCCTGGAAGCTGAAGCTGACTCAGTCTGTAGCAGCTCCAGTTTCCAGGCAGCTGAGGCATGCTGACCTCTCAGGTAAGCTGAGACAGGCTGTGGGCAGTGTGCAAGGCCAAGGACACGAAACACTGAGGTGGAGCTGTAGGACTATTACAGTTGGTAATTGGGTATCTTTTCCCCCAAATGATGAGTTCATTTCTGTTTAACCCTTAATATGTCTTGTTTGCCTTTAGACCATACAATTCACTGTCCCTCTGTCCCTCCCTCCCTCCTTCCCTCCCTCCCTCCTTCTCTTCTTGTTGTCTTCTTCCTCTTCCTCCTCCCTCCTCCCCCTCCTTCTTCTTCCTCTTTCTCTTCTTCCTCTCCTTTTTTTCCTTTTTGGTACCGGGGATCGAACTCTGGTCCTTGTGTTTTCGAGGCAGGCAGTAGAATCGCTGAACTAAATCCCCAGCCCTCACTGTCTTTAGTTAGTCACATCTTAGTATGCTTTAGAAGTAGTTGATTTAAAACGTAGAAATGTGGTAAGATACTTAGTAAATGGAATTTATCAATATTTTGAATGTAATTCTACACATCTTGTCATGATAATTAAGAAAACTATCACAGTAACAAGCAAATGCTTTAAAAATATGAATAGAAAATAGGTATTTTAAACCATATTTCACCAACCCTTCTTGGAAAAATTAAATGATTTAGTAGTAAATTTCAGTACTTGGATTGGTGCCCGCAGGATAAAATCCAAGTATCATTTTTTTCTGATCTTTGTTTTAAGCAAGTGCCAGACCTCTTGTTTGGCTTATTTGCTATCTTAATTATTGCCCAAGGTTAGCAGAGAAGTACAACCAGGAAGCACTAATAGAAATTAAAAAGTGAGAAGAGCTTGATTTGGCTTTTAGTGGGTGGGGGAGACTTGTAAAATTATGGGGAGGGATGGAAATCTGATGATTAGTAACCTAGTTTGAAAAAAAAAAATTTTTTTTTTAAACTGTTGACCACTCGATTTCGTATTGTTAATCCTTTTGTTTCCTTTGATATATGGTACTTGTTTCTAATTGTTTTTTTTTGTTATAAAAATTTATCGAAACAGTCACATTTTTATGAGACTTGATTTAGCAAGGTAAAAGATGACATAAAAAATTAAAACAATGTTCAATTTTTTAGCCCACCAGGCAGAACCTAAGTTAAATAAATCTTCTGCTACTCTAGGTGAGCTTTTGTGGATCGGGAAAGTTGATTTTCCCAGCTGTACTCTTACCTCGGTGCCGTGCAACCCTAGGAACTGCGCTGCCCTCCAGATGGCTCGAGAGCCAGAGCCACGTCCTGGCAGGCCAGGTGCCGGCTCTGCGCCCAAAGCAGGGCCTGTGACACGGAACAGGACCAACATTCAGGGTCCAACTGGGACACTGCGGGGAGGGGGTCCTGGGGAGCCAACCCAGGGCCTCACATTTGTGAGGCAGGCGCTCACCCAGCCCCACAACGCTTGTGAAAGCAAAAAGCTCCTGTCAATTACTTGAGAAGTATGGGCCGGGGATTTAGCTCAGTGGTGCCGCCGCCTGCCTCAAAACCGCAAGGTCTCGAGTTTGATCCCCAGTACCAGGAAAAAAATTACTTGAGAAGTAAAAGCATAAGACCTGTGGGTTTGGTGAAGTGCGCCCGAGGTCCGGGCTACTCTGCAGGCTGAGGCAGGACTGGTTGAGCCCAGGCAGTCAAGGCCACAGCAGGCAACACAGGCTCCCACTGGAAGAGACAAAGGGCCCCTGAGTTATAAGGCGGATGGGAACTACATTTCCCAGGATGCTCTGCGCTTGGCCTGCAGGAGCACCCAAGGCTGTGGTAGCACCGTTTGTGAGGTAAACAGTCCAGGGCTGGGTTCCACACAAAGACGTCTCCTTCTAGGGAACCCGTAACCAGACACAACACAAGAGCGAGGTGAGATTGCAAGGGCTATTGAGTGGGGTGAAGCCTCTCTCCCAACAATGCCAGCTCCCCAGGCCGCTGCCTATTCTCCTGGGTGCTGTGCCGCCCCACAGCTGCTAGTTTTTCGGGGGATTCTGGGCCAGGTGATGTTCCTACTCAACTTCAACCAACTTGTACAGCTCCATGGTGGCCTAGGCATCTTCCACAGAGGAGTGTCCACTTTTTCCAGCCAGAGGCGCGAAGTGAGGGGATCGGAAGTCGAGGTAGCCCACTCGCTAGCACACTCTGGACGGCCCTCGCGGTGGGGACCGTCCCCACTACTAACGGAAGCGTTCTGAGCCGGATGCGGAAACCGCGGCGCGCTGACGGGCACCGGGACGGCAGGCGCGTGGGTTGGACCGTGGGGGGGGGGGGGGGGTCCTGTGCGCGCGCGCGCCCGAAGCGCCCCCACTTCACGCAACGAGACCAAGAGACCAAGGACTCAGTGTGCGAGGACCCGGGGCGGGCGTCGGCGGTGAAGGCGTGGGTGGGGCCGGGGCGGGATGCGCTACCCGGCCCCTCTAGCCCCGTGGAGGTACAACTCGAAGGTGGGGTTCGCCGTGAGAAGCCGGCTGTAATTGTTCTTTCACAGATAATTGATGGAAAAGCTGTATTACTGCATTCTAAGCTGTAGCAGTAGTATAGTTAAAATTACAGTTACTGGGAGGTAGAACTCCTGTCCGTGAGATTATTAATGATGTGTTCTCCCTTTGCAGGGTCGCGAGTAGAAGTATAAATTAGTTTCTGTAGAAGTGCCATTAATTTTTTATTTTGACTTTTAAAACTCACTGTTCCCTAGTTCATTTGCTTTTGTCTGTGGGAGAATGCAAAAGTTTTTGTTTGAAGGATGATTTTTTAGCAGAATAATTTAAGAGTGAATATAATGAAAAATACTTGCATTCTATTATAGTTTGCATTCTGAGTTTTGCTTTTGGATATGGTCTTCATGCAGATGGTCATGATAATCTTGCTTCCTTGTCCTACCCCAT